CCCAATAGCAATGGCCTCCAAGCTAACTAGCGATGGCCTCCAACCTAAAATATTAGTTCTGGGACTGTATTCGTATGGGCTACTTGGTGGCAAGCACATTACTGAAAGGTCCTACTTTTCTTTATGTGTCCATACACTTCTGAGTCCACCAGCGCAAGGGCCACTCACCAATCTTCCAGGATGTCTCTGCCTCAAGTCTTTTCCAGCATCCACGTGGTTCAAGAGGCCCTTACAAAAAGCACCCTCTGACGTTCAAGAATGGGTAGGGACAGTGACAACCAAAGCCTAATTATAAGGCTCTCTCCTAGTTAGCAAGCGCCCTACTCCCTGTATCTCCCTGCAACTTTCCAGTACGCTTTCCCTCCTTTGTAGGAGGTATCAATCGGGCTCCAAATTAGGCTTCTGTGCTGCTTTTCTTGTATGCAAATGAACGCAACTTAGTCCCTTGATGTTCATTGCATTCATTGACATCAACTACAGGTTTTCCAAGCGCTTGTTCAAGGAAGCTTCTCCCACCCTCAGGCGGGGGGGGCAGCTTCTTTGAAGAAGCTTGAGCTATCCTGCGTCCAGTTACTAGTAGCTTAAGTAGCTAGGTGCGTTTTCCCTTACTTAATTAAGTAGGCGCCTGCTTGATTAACAGGACCACGGGCTTTAAAAAACGTGCTGTGAGCCGTTCATCGGGCTCCTTTCAGGTCCCTCCAGGTCCGTCCGCTCTGGCCTCAACCTCCCGAAGCACGGGAACGTCTGCTTCCACTTCACCTCCCGAATTCACTCACATGTTCAGCACGATAGTCACTATGGGGTAGGATGGGTAGGGCAAGGTAGGCATAAGACTGCATCTCATAATGTTGCATTCTTCAAAATGCCCAAAAGCTTGTTCCAAGAGTGTGCAAAGTCAGCGAACGTAGGCAGCTCGGGCTGCTCTGACTGAAGCGGCGTCATTGACACTCCAGCTTGGGCTCACACGGGGAGGCGAATCAGCGGTTATATGAGGCGTTTTAGGATCCTTGGCAAAGTCTCAGGCCAGTTGCAACTTGATAACATTAGCATACAAATATTATCAAATATTGCCTCGCTATTATATATTGAAACACATGATGCTGCCGCGCTCTCTAGGTCCTTTTTCTATGCTGCGTGTACCGACGCTCAGTGAGACCCACGCCATCAAAAAAATTGAAGGACCTCACTACCAAGCAGCCAAGGCTACTCAGCCAAGCTTCACGGTGTTGTCGTCAAGGAACTGGTAAGGGGGCAACTCCAGGTTCTTCGGTGCAGGTCCTTGTCGCATGCGGCCAGCAAAGTCATAGTGTGATCCATGGCATGGGCAGAAGTAGCCACCATAGTTTCCGGCATCAGGCTGTGGGATGCAGCCCAAATGCGTACACACACCAATGCAAATCAACCACTCAGGGCGTTTGCACCTCTCTGCATCTGTAGCTGGATCACGCATTGATGGAGCAATCACATCATCCTTCTTGGCAGCTGCAATTTGGTTCGGTGTGCGCTTGCGGATGAAGACTGGCTTGGAGCGCCACTTGACCGTGAAGTTCTGCCCAAGCCGAATGGGGCGCAAGTCGGCCTCCACAACGCCAGCAGCAAAAACATCTTTGGTGGGCCACAAGGTGAGGATCAGCTTGCAAGCAACCGCTCGGATGATGGAGGCTGCAATAGCCGCACTCACTGCAGTCATGAAGTACACATAAGGACGACGATCTGCATGGCCGATGGGAAGGCGATTGGCTCGGAAGTCCAAAGCCCCTTCAGGAACCGTGGTTGTTGGCATTGGAGCATTCTCGGCCAGGCCAACTGGGCGGAAGTTTTCTGGAGAAAACTTTGCAACTGACACAATGGCTGGCTCTTTGGGATCGTGCCAAACGTCGGTTCGTGTGAGAGTAGCACCAGCAGCGAGCTCACCTTTGGAGAGGTCCGGCTTTCTTGGGAAGGTTGGCTCACGCACAGAGTCGTAATGATATTGCCTGGTGACTCCCATGCCAAAACATTGGTGAGGATCGCCTGAAGTCTCCATGAGTTGTGAGGTGTCGTGCACCACAGGAGCCCTGACGGCTTTCTTCATTTCCTCTTCATATTCCTTGGGGCTTTTCAGCACAAACTCATTCTTGTACATGGGCTTCTCGGAAGCTGGCGGAAGCTCTTCGCTGTCGAGCATCAAATGCGTGTTCGTAGGATGTGCAAAGCATCGCGTCTGCAACCGAAGCACCGCGACATGAGGCCGCACCCGGGCAACCGGGGCAAGGCGTGCTGCGAGTCGCGGCAGCATCTTGAGTTACAGAGCTGCAGTTTTGTAGAAAGAGGACCCTACCTTCTTTATACTCACTTGAATCCCTATGTCAGTCACGTCAATCACTTAGGCACTCTTGTTGGCTGCCAAGCCTAGTCAGAATAAATCCAAGGCTCTGCTGCAAGCAATTCTGCTGGAGTTTGTCCTTGTAAGCACTTCACGATGATATCTACGACCTCGATCTCACTCAGCTGTGAAGTTTCAGCGCGTTTGAGTGATTTTGAATCAACACCTTAAACCTTTTCGACATGCACTACGCCGCCATGCCTCTTGCGCATGCTGCTGCAATGTCGTGGGCAAAGGATTGCAAGTGCTGCGGAGCTTGACTGGCCTGCCAGAAGAACAGCATCAGAGGTAGGCGCACGAAGGCCAAAAAACTGACATCATGGCGGCCCAACAGATCCTAATCAAATCTAATCAATCCCTCTTTTTCAATGAAACATGTGCAATTAACAAGCATTCTCAATTCTCAAGTTCGCACTGCAACATGTCGTTGTTCCAAGGGACGAAGTTGGCATGGCGAGGCAAATGCGCCAAAGACATGCATCTGGTGCTATGAAGTTTAATGACCTGGAAAAAGACCAAGTGGGAAGTTCATGATGTGAAGTTTCACAATGTTTCACAATTGAAGTCGGTGAAGTTACCTCATGACGGTGATCCAATCATGCCAGGCGGCTCGTCAATGTTTCTAGCCAAACAATCCCTCCACTCCGCGATGGCCTCCGGCTGTAGAGGCAGTTCGGTAAACTACATGTTACATGACTCATTATATAAATGATTGCCATGTAATTTGCATGACGAAATCATTGCCAAGTGCAGTTTCATGACTGAATGTTGTGAACACTCATATGGTTGGATCGTCTTCCATCTCTGCTCATGTTTCTGTTTTCGGATGCGAGAAAGTCGTGGCACTGTACGAAGGTAGGCAAGCCAAAGCAAGATAAGCAAAATGCAAGGCAAGAATAGAAAAGCATGGCGAAGCGATAGCGCTGAACCATGGCGATAGTGCCGGTGAAGTGGCATCACCAC